GATCCCCGATTGGAAAGGGTTTGATGTCAGTTAAAGAACTCACACTTCCACACATCATTTGGGTTGTCACTATTCGTTAATCATGGCTAAGAGGGGGCCGGCATTCAAATTGGAGTAGGATGTCAGGGATTTGATACTTCTCGGATTTTAAATCATATTTCATCCCAAGTTATGTTACCAGAAACACATTTAAGGTTTTCCATTCGGTTTATAGTTACGCTGTTTATCTTAACACCATATACCATAACAAAAAAAAGAACTTCCAAGCGTTACGCACCACCCACGAGTGAACCAAGACTAAGCAATCTTCAGATAAAACTGGGGTATACAGCACATAAATCGGGAATTAGGGTAAGTTTTCATAAACGTGCAAAGTTTTCTCTGTACCTTTTTTTTTTTAATAAACACCAGCACCCTCTTAGCCATGATTAACTACCATTCCCATATTTACATGAATGTTTTAACTACTAAAGGTCTTTACCTTGTAAGTGACCTCTTTTCTAGGTCGTCTCTTTGGTAAAAGAATGTTCTTCAAAAAGTTAAAAAAGTTACCCGTTAGATCTTATGTCCAATCAGACTTTTGAGCTTTCTCTTAAATGGATGAAAAACGCGAGAAAAGATGACTGGTGATTCATGATTTCTAATTCACACTGTATTAGGCCACAGAGAAATTACTGAGTAAATACAGCTTTGTGTCAAAACTGAGTGATTACCTAGATTTTGTACGACTATTTTTGTTCTTTTGTATCTTGTTATTATAACAAAAGATTCACGGTGCGCATTTCATGTTTATGTTGGAAAAGGTGTAACTAATCGTATGCAAAATTCGTTCATATTGATAGAGGGGTAAGTTTCTAAAGAAACTGTGGTGCTGCGTCGGTGGGAGAGTATAGCAGGTAATTTAGTGTTAACAACTGGGTTGAAAACGTAAATTAGCCACCGTAAAGGGTAAAAAAGCTGACGTTTCGAGCGTTAGCCCTTCGCCAGAGCGATTAGAGGAATTGTGGGTTGTGTGTGGATTTATATGTAGAAAGTGGAGCTACGCCATTGGCGGGAATATGGTGACGAGAAAACAGGAATAATATATCCGTGGGGATTAAGGGTGCCGATTTGGAATATAAATTTTTGTTCTAGTGTTTTACGGCTTTCCGAACTGCCTAGATGTAAGGCAAGGCCGCAAACTGCCATATGCTGTTTAGAATGATAAGGAAGATTAAAGTGTCTAGCGACTGGTTTGGATGCGTCCTTGTCATTTCTTTCCACATCGCGAAGGTGTTCTCGGAATCGGTCACCCAGCCGTCTTCCTGTTTCGCCGATGTATAACTTATTGCAATAAGTGCAAGTTATGCAGTAAATAACATTGGCGGAGGTACACGTAAAGTGATCAATGATCTTAATGGATCTTTTGGGTCCCGATATTTTCTCTACGTTATGAATGAAAGGACAAGTTTTGCATCGTGAGCGAGCGCATTTAAAAGTTCCAGATTGGTCATTGGTTTGAAATGAACTCCTGACTAAAAAGTTGCCTATGTTTTCCTCGCTGCTAAGAACACTACTGAAACGAGTAGTTCTAAATAGGACCTGAAAAAAATTCAGGCCCGTACGGGATTTGAACCCATGACCTCTGCGATACCGGTGCAGCGCTCTACCAATTGAGCTAACAAGCCAACTGGGAGCTGGTCAATGAATTGGGTCCAAATAAACATCCAAGTGAATGAAGATTTTAGATATATGAAAATTCACATATTTGCACTGTGGTGGAGAGATGAAATTAAGAGATCCTCGCAGCTACATTGACGATTGCATCGGCGCTACCTCCTCTACCAAAGAGGAGCTCACTCAATTTATAACCGCCGTCAATTCCTTTCATCCGGCTCTTAAATATACCTGGGAAATTTCCGACACTTCTTTGGCTTTTCTAGACATCAAAATTTCTATTGAAGGCAACGGCTTATGCACTAGTGTTTACTACAAACCTACAGATTCACATAGTTACTTGTTGTATTCATCCTCACATCCATCACACGTCAAGAACTCCATACCTTTTTCACAGTTTCTCAGACTTCGTCGTTTATGTAGTGACGACTCTGATTTTTCCGAAAAATCAGAGGCAATGTGCCAGTTTTTCGATAAACGCGGCTATCCTGTTTCTGTCGTTCAAGCGGGCTACCACCGTGCCCAACAAATCGATCGACAGGCAGCACTACAAACGGCCGAGAAGGAGAACACTGACCGCATTCCATTTACTCTTACATTTCACCCTCACAACCACGCAGTTAAATCTATCATTCGTAAAAGTTTTAAATTACTCCAAAACGATTCAGAGACTGGCACTATCTTTTCGCAACCCCCACTTATTTCATTCAAACGTGACAAAAACATAGGCAACTTTTTAGTCAGGAGTTCATTTCAAACCAATGACCAATCTGGAACTTTTAAATGCGCTCGCTCACGATGCAAAACTTGTCCTTTCATTCATAACGTAGAGAAAATATCGGGACCCAAAAGATCCATTAAGATCATTGATCACTTTACGTGTACCTCCGCCAATGTTATTTACTGCATAACTTGCACTTATTGCAATAAGTTATACATCGGCGAAACAGGAAGACGGCTGGGTGACCGATTCCGAGAACACCTTCGCGATGTGGAAAGAAATGACAAGGACGCATCCAAACCAGTCGCTAGACACTTTAATCTTCCTTATCATTCTAAACAGCATATGGCAGTTTGCGGCCTTGCCTTACATCTAGGCAGTTCGGAAAGCCGTAAAACACTGGAACAAAAATTTATATTCCAAATCGGCACCCTTAATACCCACGGAATCAACGAGCGCTTTTCATTCAACTAATTTATTCCTGTTTTCTCGTCACCATATTCCCACCAATGGCGTAGCTCCACTTTCTACATATAAATCCACACACAACCCACAATTCCTCTAATCGCTCTGACGAAGGGCTAACGCTCGAAACGTCAGCTTTTTTACCCTTTACGATGGCTAATTTACGTTTTCAACCCAGTTGTTAACACTAAATTACCTGCTCGTTCATATTGGATTGCTGCAGAATAAGTATAACTTGTTACATGTTTAACTGACCACAATAGTTTTTTTAATTACTCGCATACCAATGATAGTTCTGCATTCCCTCATTGACGGCATTC